ATGAATTTGTCTCCTTTTTCATATGATCTGAATTTTTCAAAATTGAAATGAATTATACTACGCAAGATATCATACTATTGAAGTACTCTTTTCACTTAAATAATACGTCTGACGTTACCATGTGACAAGTTGTATTAATTTGATTTCCCTTTTGAGAAAATGATCTATGTCTCGCCCAGGGCTTGAGAATGCCTGTTGCTTTTCACTTAAGCGAGTTAACTTTGTTATCACGTGGTTTCCATCAATTTTTAATTTTGTCCCAGAAGAAATCCTATATAAGATCACATAATCAATCCAAAATTTGCCGTCCTTTGAGCGACACAGTCCTATCTGGTTTCGGATTTTGTCAGTTTATCTGTTTTGACTGACGTGGACCGCCCCTCCCTACGAAGCGTGACTTTCTGTTTTAAGAAGGTTATCAAATTAGCGAGTGGACATGTAAATTTCATTTCCGGCAGCCAAAACAGTGACAGCTGATCGTACATCTCCGGTCAAAGATCTTGCTTACACTTCTCCATCCTCTAACCTTGTTATAAATAGGTCTAATAAGCACTCTGAGGACGAAAAGGCAACATTCTCGCCACAGTGATGTCTTTAATCGGGTTATATCCGTGTTCGAATATTTCTGCTCCAACAGCATTGAGCATTACATCTGCGACGTTCTGCTCCCTACTCGCCGTTACAGCTGTCACAGGCAATGTCCTGATACTTATTGCCGTAATTATCGACCCAAATCGCAATCTACGATCACCATTTAACTTCTTGGTGGCTAATTTAGCGGCAGCAGATCTGATTGTCGGTTGTGTTGCGCTTCCAATGTCAGTGGAATTCTACATTCGCGAATCGCTAACCGAAAAGATAACTCTCCTTCCGAGAGATGACGTTCGGCGAGTCAGCTCCTTCATCTCTACGACGGCGTCATTGTTTAGCTTAGCCGCTTTGACTGTGGACAGATTTATTGCGATTACAGATCCGTTGAAATACAAGATAAAACTGACTACAAAGCGAGCTGCCATTATTTCGTTTGTACTTTGGATCGTGTCAATTGGCTTTCCATTTCTTTACTTTAAAGTCGGTTACTTGAAGTATCAATTTGTCTTCGCAAATACAGCGGTAGTGGCTACGTTCTCTGTCATGTGCCTCACCTATACGAAGGTTTTCAAAAGCTTTAAAAAACAAGTGAAGAACTGGGACAGTTTACACCATGGTCGTGACAGTGACAATCACCTGAAAATGAGAGCCATAAAGTGGGAGAAGAAAATCACAAAAACTTTTATTATCATGCTGGCGCTGTTTATCAGCTGTTTTCTCCCGTCCTTGCTACTTATCTACGTGATAAGCTTCTGCGGAAGTTGTAACTGCATATTTATTCACTGGGCAAGAGATTTAAATTATATTTTAATCATGGCCAATTCAAGCATGAATCCTTTCGTCTTTGCGTGGCGTCTCCAACCGTATCGCAAGGCTTTCTCAAAGATTCTAACTTCTGGAAAAGTCGTCACAAAACTGCGTTCGGTTTCTCTGCAGATGAGCCAGTCAATGAACTCGCTATCGTTAGGTCCTACAGTTTCAGGAACTTACACCACAAATACAACTTCGAGTGACAGTCCATTGTAACTCAGCTGTTTTTCTTTTCTCTTCTTTTTTTATTTAGCTCTCCTATTTGCAATAGATACATTGTCAGTTTCCTAAGGTCAAAAATGTTACGTCTGAGATGTAACAACGCATCTAATTGTCACAGATAATAGACACAAACTGACGATAGTATTTTTCGCTTTCAAGTTTCTTCTAATTCGAAGATAATTAAAAATATTTAAAACTGGTCACCAATACTGTAAAATTGGCAAGCTAACTTTCTAGCATGTAATATCGATATTAGCAATTGTGATATTTCGGGAATGATTGCCGCCTATGTAAACAATTCCTAAAAAAATCCAAGCTTGTTTTGTTTTGATTTTTTTTTTCGCCTCGCCAAAATACTTTTCCCAAATCTACTGAAAAAAAAAAAGAAACCGTAAAAATCTGTCGAAGGTATGGTAGAAATATTTTTGTTTGTATGTAGGGTCATTGCTATCGAAAAACATGCTGGCTCCACGTACTTTTTTTTTTTATTAACAGCATTCATGTTGCCTCGCTATTTACACTCATTATTTATTCAGGGCACTGCGCACTGTTTGTTTCGATATTAGCTATTGAATACGGTATTCCGTTGAAACGAATGGGTATTGGAGACCATAATGTTGTTTGAACTAGCTGCACAACAGAGGTTATTTATGATTGGGTCTTCTAACTTCGGGAAAATTACAGTTGACAACCTTTCAACTTGTAAAACATGGAACAATGAGCCAGTTGTATTTCCCTTTCAGTATATTAAAAGTCTATACAAGCTTGGGATCTTAAAGGCTACCGTCAGTAAACTCCATTCTATTTTCGTCGGCGTCGATTGTAAAGTGATGTGCCCGAGTAAACGACGGTGAGTAATCATGCGGAGGGGAGGAATCCCTAAGAAGGATATTGAAAAATGCACACGGGTGGGGGGGGGGGGGGGGCAATTAAAGTTTGCTAAGGGAGAAGGGATGCTCCGGTCGAGCCACCAAAGCCCAGCCCTGTTTCAGGGCCCTGTTAATGGCAAATGATAGTGGCCTATTGAAGTTTGGGAACTAAACCTGGTAATTTTCGAACTAAAACAAATAAAAAAAATAAACAAAATAAAACATGTTATTTTTGGCGCAACAAGAATCATATCGACATACGAACTGCACTTTGGCAACTTTCACATCCTTTCATGACTTTCAGTTCCCAAATACACCTTGTAAGAGATATTACATAGAATAACGACTTTATAGTCTGTTAAATCTACTAAGCGGGTATATACTCGATTTGGTCCAATAAGGGAATACCCCCCCCCCCCTCCAACCCCACCCCACTATCCCACGCGCTCCCCGTCAGGATTTGGGACCTTATTCTTTCGACAATAAAAAAGGGGGTTGGCAGGAATTCTCAAAAGGGATTCACGAATTTTGGCACGCCTTACGAATGTTTGCACGAAAGCCAAAGAGGGAATTCCGACTTCTGACTTCAGAATCTTTAATTTTATCACGGTTTGCATTTCTTGTTACACACGGATACACTTTATTACACATACTCAAGAAAGATGCTAAACGTGGTGTACGCCCGCGATAATCAGCACTGACAGAAACAATATGGCGTCATCCGGTGATAATGCCAGAGTAAAGGTTTGTTAACTTTCTGGTAGAATAAGCCTTAGCTTTCTTTCTCTTTTAATTGAAAATACTGCATTTTTTTGTTCCCTTAAGGGTGTCACAGTCATAAAACCTGTAATATTTGGAAATGTGTCTCATTACTTTGGAAAGAAACGTGAAAGCGACGGCCACACTCATGGTTGGACAGTTTTTCTTCGCCCTTTCAAAAACGAGGTTCGTACGTCTGCCAAATTTCTCGCCAGTGGCTCTGAAAAAGCAGTTCATTATGTCTCAAATAGAAATATGGAAGTATTGAAAATAAAATTACATCACAAGAAGAATAATCGAAGTATTCAAAATGTGGTTGTTTTTTATAGGACATGTCCAGCTATGTAAAGAAAGTCCACTTCAAACTTCATGAAAGTTATGCTAATCCCTTAAGAGGTAAGAAATTCGAGGAGTGATAGCGAGATTAAAAGAGAAAGATGAACAAAGAGACAGTCACTGACCGACTGATCAACAGAGATGGACCTGTAGACAGATGCACTGCAGACAGACAGAGAGTCACAGATAGACAGACAGTCAAACAAATCACAAATTAGAGGAACTGATGACGATATGAAGGTTGATGTAACATGAAGACAGAGTTTAAGAGACAGACAGATACATAAACAAAGGAAACATACGTAAATCAAAGCAGTAAGATTTCCATATAGCCCTATACTGGGTTACCGGTCACCTCACCACCAAGCAGACTCGCCACCAGCGAACTCGCCACCAAGGAACGATCTCGCCACCAACGTACTCGCCACCAAGCGAAGTCTTCTCGCCACCAACCCCCAATAAAGAGATAAACTAGAATAAAGTAGTCGAGGAGAGTAGGATGTTCGAACGAGCACAATTCAAATCGGCCGATACGTTTGTGCGCTTGTCTGTATTTAAATTATGACCTTCAGCGACGTGTTAGATGGTTCCGTTCCTAACTCATTGACATCGAAACGTATCGTGTTTGTCTTTTGCACGTAAGCGAGGATAAATTGCAAAACTGGATGCGAGGAATAAAAACTTACTTGAGAGAAAATGAAACTTCATGGGAAGAAATAAGTGATGAAATGAAACTCGATAGCAGTTGGATTAAAACTAAATGCGAACGAACAACTTACGTTTATAAAGTTTGAGTACAGACAAGCGAACAAACTTATCGGTTCCGAACGTGCTTTCGACAACATACGTTTATAAAGTTTGAGTACAGACTTATCAGCCGAACATCCTACTGTCCTCGACTAATCTCTTTATTGGTGGTTGGTGGCGAGAAGACTTCGCTTGGTGGCGAGTACGTTGGTGGCGAGATCGTTCCTTGGTGGCGAGTTCGTTGGTGGCGAGTCTGCTTGGTGGCGAGGTGACTGGATACCCTATACTATTGTCAAACAAAGTCATAATCCCAAAGACAATTTATTGTTTTTGCTATTGTTTTCTTTATCCAAGAACTGTATGCATGATAAAGTATAGGGCTGTGTGGAAATCTTACCATCAAAGCTGTATAGATTCACAACTGGACAGAGAGATGTAACAACACACAGATACTAGGTAGATGGATAAACAAGAAAAAATAAACAAGAAGCCTTCTTCTTCTTCTTCTTCTTCTTCTTCTTCTTTTTTTTTAACCCTTTTACACCCTATGATTCATATTCTCCATACTTTTCTTGGTACATTTACTAAGGTGCTGAATAGGAGAATTTGTCTAACAATCAAGAGTTTCTTTAGTTAGTGATCATTTACTTTATTCTCATAACATTAATGTGTAATTCAGTGGTGATATTGTACTTGGAGAAATAAGATGCTAGTCATACTTTGGGGTAAAGGCTTAAATTCTTCCCCATTTTGTTATAAATACTTGAATTGAAGAAGCGTTTATCTTTTTAGCAATTTGATTTGATAGTTTTCGTCTTTTTGTTGGACTTGTGAATTAGAGAAGGGTGACAAAGGGTTGATATTTGATGCTTTACACTCTAACATGAGAATGTATATTCTCCATACTGTTCTCTATACATTTCCTAAGGTGCTGAAAAGGAGAATTTGTTTAACAATCAAGAGCTTCTTTAGTTGGTGATCATTTCTTGTATTCCCTTGATCTTAAATGAATGATTCAGCATTATTAATGTGAGGAGAAACTAGATGCTGGTCACTCTTAGGGTTTAAAGGGTCAAGGCTCAAACTGATTTGTGCTGCAAGAATTTACATTTATTTTCTCTTTCATTTTATGAAAACCTCAAGAGTTCCCTGAAACCTTGTACATAAGAAGAGAGATTTGAAGTTTACCCTTTCAAATTTGCTATGTGTGAGAATTGTTGGTTAGAGTATTATGTGAAGTATGAATTTGTCTAAAATTTGTGCATAAAACAAGATAAGGACCCTTTTACCACCCTCTTAGGGGTGGTGCTTTGCCATAGCATTTAACTGTTTGAGTCATGTGCTGGGACATGTCTACCAACATTTTTTTTTTGTTACAGTGGTAACAAAGCCTCCATATGAAGTGAATGAGTCAGGTTGGGGAGAATTTGAAATACAGATCAAAATATTTTTCATGGACCAAAGTGAAAGACCGGTCAGTTCACCTTCTATGTAGACCTCAAAGTATTTACAAAACTGTAACTTCTGAAAGATTGATTTATCTCATTAAATTTCCTCAAAATGTCTCTGATTCTTTTATATATCATTGCACATTTATGCAATTGCACATATATTATTTCTAGGCTATCATATGTTTTGTGATTATGAGCATTTAAAGACAGTAAATTTCAAAATGTTATGGTATATAAGGGAGGCAATACCAAATTGGTTTTGATAAAATCAAGTAAATATGAGAGAAAGAAAGAATGCCATGGTAACCTTAGGGGCTATGTTAGGGTTTCTGCATTGTCGAACATTTTCCACATGGATTTCCTCAGCTGGTCACTTACAATGCGTGTCAATATTTTTAATCTCTTCAACTCCCCGAAGTGATTAACATGTAACTTCTCCCTATAATTTCCATACATTATAGAGCAAACGGGTAATAATATTACTCAAACTTATCAGGTGGAAGTTGTTATCTCGATCAAACACCAATTTCTTGTGCCTAATTTACAAGGAAATGTGTAGCTGCTAGAGGGGAGAATTAACAATCAGATCTTGGGAGTTAAAGGGTATTACCTCATTGTTCATCCTCAAATTACTGTTGATTTGATCCTCTTAATTTTTTATCCGTTTTTTAATCTTGTGCATTGCACTGTTTTATTTTGTGGCTTCTCAGCATCACATTTAATTAGCACATTAAAAAATCTCTGTAAATCCTTTTTGTTTAATGCCTACATTTTGTATGAAGTTTCTTCTGGCATTCAGTTTAAAAAATGTTTGTGTTGTAATTTTTTTTCTACAGGTTACATTTTATCACCTTTTGAAGCTTTTCCAAACAGAATCTGCACTTGCCTCTGGAAAAAAACAGCTGGTTTCTGAATTCTATGATGAAGTTGTAAGTAGGACATATGTGTTTGGCTATGTTTTTTCTTCCAATTGGACCAAGCATTTTAGCGGTTGAATGTCTTAATCCATGTATTTTTGTAGATTTTTCAGGACCCCACCCAGATGATGCATCAATGTTTACTCAGTGCAAGACAGTTGCAACCCATAAAACATGAGTCTGACTGTAAGAACGTTTTTTGAATTTTTGAATTTTTTCATTTATTTTGAGACTGGAAAGTAACTAATGGAGTAGACTTATTGAGTTATTTTTTCCTAATAAAAATAATAATAATAATAATAATAATAATTATAATAATAAAAAAATAATAATAATAATAGTAATAATAATAATAATAATTATCCAGTGGAAATTGAATTAAGCAGGTTGATCACTTAGGACCAAGTGGAGTCCAATTTGGTCTGCAATCAAACACATTAGTGATTGACAAAATTGGACCGTAAAGTAAGAGTCTGATTTGTTAATCTCGAATATGATTACTGACAGAATTGGACAACAAGATGTTGTGTTACGAATGAATCATAACCATTTAAATTTCTGAAAAAAACAAATACACCTAGAAAAAATGTCTCCAGTAGAGACAATGTCTTTATTAAAAAATTCCTCCATTTTGGAGATTCCCCAGTTTTTCTTTGGATAAGAGGTTGTTGCCATGGTTATTTTGATCATTTCTGTGATTTGTGGATTAGCTTAGTGGACCTAGTATGATTGGCTACTTCAACTGTTGGATTACAGGTGTCCAATTACAGCCAACTGTCAAATTACACTGTCCAATTATAACTACAAAATGATTAGTAAAAAATGAAGCTGCAAATGCACCAATAATATTTGAGGAATTTGTAATGGTTATGATTAATGCAGGTTCTACAGAACAGGGTTGTTATAACAACAACAACAACAACAACAACAAAATGCCATGTTATTCCAAAATGTACAAAAACTTGCTCCAAAAAAACTACTAAGTGACATTGGTTTTGGGAGATAAACATGGATTTAGTGTTTACTTGAAAGATTATTCTTAATTATATTAGAGTGGTTCACTTTAAGTGTCTTTTTACAAGAAGGAAGACAAAAAAAATAGACCATTAGAACTCAGTAAAGGGTGACCACCATTGCTTAATAGAGGCGAAAATTATTACTGTCAGTATCTAAGAAGAAAAAACTTTAGGACTTTAACAACCAACTGCTTAATACAGGGTGACTGCTTGGTACGTTGTGGCGTAATACTGGTTTGACTGTACTAGCTTGACTTAAATGCATTCCATCAGACTTAACCCTTTACACCCCAACATCAGTATGCATATTCTCGTTCCTGTTCTCTATACATTTCCTAAAGTACTGACAAGGAGAATTTGTTCAACAATCTAGAGCTTCTTTAGTCTGTGATCATTTCCTTTATTCTTGTGACTGTAATGTGTAATTCAGGGGTGGATTGGCTTAACTTTTAATAAATGTTCTGTTCAGCATAGGTAAATATGGTAAGGTAGATTAACTTGCTGTTTTGCTTTTTTGAGCGGCATAAAATTGAAATTACAGGGTACTTTACCCTTTCACTCCCACAAGTGACCAAGATAGAATTTTTCCTTACAATATCAAATACAATATCTGGACAGCAAGCACTGGCAACAAAGAAAAATATCAATCATGGGATTACCATCTGGTTCTATGCTAAATTCAAGAACAAAAATTGTTAACAATGTGTTGCAGACAGGAGGAAGAATTAGTTAGTAAATCTTGGGAGTGAAAAGGTTAAACCCCCAGTCATCAATCATATTACAGCGTGATAACTCAGAATTTTCATTCCGATAAAAATTCTGGATACTCATTCTCAATATTGTTTTGTGGGAATTTCTGTTGATACTTCAGGCATGGTATTCAATAATCTGGGATTTTGTCTTTTTCTGCATTACAGGGGCTGAAATTGAACAGAGAACTACAGCTTCTATAGGTGCTGCTCGTCAAAAGATTGGCAAAGAAATCAGTGAGTTGAATGAAAAATTGAAAGTGTGCAAAGATGCTATCCAACAAATGAAAGCTGAAATAGCAAAGCTTGAACAACAAGAAATTGAGGGACCAGAACAGAGTATAGCACCAACTGTTGTACAATGAGAGAATCAAGACTAGTGTTCTCTTCAGCAAGCTCTTAAGCATTGGTTTTTGCAAATAATCAGGGTGTTTGTGAAAGTTTAGTGTCACAGATTCATAGGTACTTCTTGTTTTGGTTACAATAGCCTACTTGAGAGGGGCTTTGCCCATCATATGGTACGTGGTAAAGATCTGTTGAAGTCAGAAGTGGATATGTAAATAGTGAAAACTGTAATGAACAACTTTTGAGTTCTGAGGTGCAATGTACACCCCAATGCATGTTTTGCTATTATGATGTAAATAATATATTGACTGGAAATGAGATTATCTCTCTGTGTGTTGTGTTTTTTTTACTTTTTAATCGCTAATCTGCAAGCAGACCAGATAGAGCACACAGATCTAAGGAAAATATAAGGTAAAGTTTACAAGTTGTAAATGTCAAGTTTCTTCTTCCATCCTTTCTTCTTTTATTCAGTGGCTTACCTATCACGCAGTGCTTTATTTTTACCCTGGGGAGAGATTCTAAGAAGGGGATTACATGGTTTTCAGGGGGAGTAAAGGGGGATCAGTAGTCACTAAAATTGACTGTCACTTAACTGTCAATAATAGGGGATCATTAGAATATCAAAGAACCTTGGATGGGGAAATCAGGTTAATTTTATTGTAAAATATTGAAAAATTCTCCAGGTCTAGCCAAGGTGTAACAGTACCCTCCCCCAGTGGTGAAACGGAAGCGAGGGAACATCTACGCAAACCTGACACTAATCGTGTTCCGTGACGTCACTCTAATTTATGCAACATAATGTCACTTAATAATATTTCTGTGCGAAGTTACACGTGTTAGCGTGAAGGTCATCGAGATAAACAACTTTGAAGTGAATTCGTTTTCCATTTTTCGGGTAAATTTGCAATTCAGCGTCCGAGTTCAGATGTATACTTTGCTTTAAGATAAAGGAAAAGATAATGAGCAATTTCTGATATAGAGTAAGAGGAGGCGATGTTCGATTAGCATGACAATTACGAAACTAGATTTCAACGTCCATGCGGTTTCTGCTTGCATTTGTAAACAGTGCCACGGCCGTAGAAAAGAATTGAATCATTTGCCGCAGAATCTCAAAGATTTCAAAGATTTCTTTCAGAGATGATTACCCTGAAAGATCGCTGCAAGAAACAACTAGCTTTAATTTAATAGCTTGGCAGCACCGTTCGCAAAGAGACCGAAAGTTGAAGACGGACAATCCTCATGGTCCAAGTACATTAAGATAGTGCACCTGGTCTCTTGTTAGAGCTTTGACGGGCGGCACAATAAATATAGTGACTGCTTTCTTCTTGGGAGGAGAGGCGATCGATCACTGGCGCTGCTTGATATAATAACTGATTTTCCATAACCAGTTGGTAACGAAACGGAGACATCGTTACCTTCGAAAAACATATCGGTAAAACTTCCGCACAGCCTCATACTACATTATGCATTCAGTTCTTGGACAGAGATAACAATGGGAAACAAATTTGTTTTACAATAGTATGGGGCTGTGCGGAAATTTTACCACCATGGAAACAGTTTGTTTATCATCTTGTTCGTTACCAAAAGGGGTTAACTAATAAAAATCTTTACTTAGAGTGACGTCACGGAACACGATTGGCGTAGACGTTGCCTCGCCTTTCAATGGTCGCTATTTTGGGGTGTCTGTTTTGGTGACCATACCGCAGACAAGGTGCCAAAATGACCCTGGGCTCGAAAATTGCAGGCTATAATTGGACAACTGGTCATCTGGGAAGTAGATCTCGCTGGGAACACAGACATTCACGCAACGGTCTTCAATCGCTGTTTGTAAACCATATTAATATTTCGAAGGGCTAAACTGCAGAATATCCAGACTTTCTTTTTGGTAAGTTGGTGCAATTCTACCCGATCAGATCCTTCTCTCCAACCGTGCAGTAGTGTAAGTTAAAAAAAATTCATTCGATGTCTAGATTTATAATCAAATTCAGAGCTCGCACCAACGTGACAGATCACGATGTTTCATTCACAAAGGTAACGAAACCTTTTTTCGATGGAATTGTGCAGAAAAAGAGTCTGTTCCGATGATAGTGAGCGGAATACGTTCACCATGTTCGGCGAAAATAATTTCTTACTTTAGAAAAGTGCATTGCACAGTTGAAGGAATCTTAAAATCATCTTAAGCTTTACCCCTTAAAATTGCAGCACAATTTATGAACCATCTTAACGATAATGAAGGCTTATTAGGAGAATTTCAGTCTGCATATAAATCTCATCACAGTACAGACACTGCGCTTGTGAAAGTTCAAAATGATATTTTGAAGGCTACTGACAGTAATAGATCGGTTAATTTTCTATTGCTTGATTTATCGGTTGCGTTTGATACTGTCGATCATTCGATTTTGCTATCAAGACTACAGAATCGTTTCGGTATTAGGAACGATACCTATTCCAGAGTACTACTAAGGCTATTGTTCAAGCTTACATAACATCGCGTTTGGACTATTGTAATGCCCTACTGTATGGTCTCCCTAAGTATCTGATTAGACTTCAGCTCGCCTTGCTACCTTGACTAGAAGGCAGGAACATATCACACCAATACTAAGGAGCTTACATTGGCTGCCAGTTCATTATAGGATAGTTTTTAAAATATTGTTGCTGACTTACAAAGCTCTGAATGGACTGGCCCCAGATTACCTTAAAGGTCTATTGAAGTACAAGCACACTAAAATCTTCAAACAACAGGTTGCTTGATGAGCCTGGGGCGTGTATGGTGAAAGGGCTTTTTCCGTGGCGGCACCAAGGCTCTGGAATAAACTACCACTACAGATCAGGTTTTCATCATCAGAGGCAGTTTTTAAGGCTAATCTTAAGACTCATCTTTTTATGTGTGCATTTGATTTGTAGTTTTTACTCGTAGTTATAGTGTATTTAATTCTTGGATTTTAATTTTTACGGTTTTTAGAGTATTGTAAAGCGCTATGGACAATTAATGGAAGATGGCACTATATAAATGTATTTAATTAATTAATTAATTTCCGATTTTTAGTAATGAAGCTAAACTCGATATGGAATCTGTACAATATACTGTACATCCGATCAACATGTGATCAACTGCACTCATTCACTTGTACTTGTAAACTTCTACAAAAAACAATTTGGCTGTAACTTTGTTATGAATTTATTATTTCAAAAACTCTCAAAAAGAGTTCAGATCGTCAACATCATTGACAGAAAGAAGCTACAATGTAGTCCAAAACCTCTCATAATTTTTCCTCATTCAAAATTACTTGTGAAGTATTCAATGAGTATTCTTGAAGTTTAATAACATGTGTAGTTATGATTATCATAATTAAAGCATTTGACTTTTAAAGTTGCTCAGACCTGTTTGTCTTTCTTTGTGCATTTCTTTTTTCTCTGTTTAGACCTAAGCCTGAGTCATTTCATATCCGGAAACCTGGAACTAAATTTTAAGCATGACTTTTTCTTTTTTAGAGTCTTCATTTCCTCTAAAAAGAGGACAAGAAATTAAAATTACAATGGATAAAGGTAAGTAACTACAGATAAATTGATATCAATTGAAAGTTATCTCAACAAAGTCAGTTTGACTTGATCAATGCTCAGTTTTAATGAATGAATGGCAAGACAGAAAAAGAGAGATACTTACCTGGTGTGTTGTTTGTTCAATAATTTGACCAAAGAGTGATAATTTTTTTCAAGTCTCCCTTTTTTAAAAAAAAAAAAAAAAAAAGGTTCATCACCAATTTACAATGTTTGGCTAAATTTTAGTTGCCGATTATATTCTTAACTCACCATGGCAACCCAAATGGTTGCAGCTTAGAGTGCTACCGTTAATTTAGGTCCAATTTATTTTGAAGAAAAATAAATTCTTGTAGGTGATGTCACACTTACACATAGAGTGGTCATATACATGTCTACTTAGTATTTGTGGATGAATACTAGCATACTAAAACCGGGACGTTTCAAATTCATCTTGACTTTATTATCAAGTAAAAGGATGACAGTTGTAGTTTCAAATTTAAAAATTGACTGAGTTCATTAGAATGTCAAGTGTTTCTTGATCTTTGGTGTTCAAAGATCTCTTCTAACACTGGTCAACATGACACTGGTAATGTATGAGGAGTTCCAGTGTTGGTTGTTTTTCACAGATGCTTGTCAGCTGGCAGCCTCTTTTCTCAATCATCATGCTGAGGAATGGCAAGTTGTTTTTATCGATAATCTCCTTTGTAAACTGTATTGAAGGATGGCATATATATATGTGTTTAGCAATTATAGGGGAAACAACAGAGAGATTGTACTTTCATCCCTACAAGCCTGTTTTGTGATTGCTCACTTGTTAGTGGATTTTAAAATCCCTTGATGAGTGAGCAATCACGAAACAGGCTTGTAGGGATGAAAGTATAGTCTCTCTGTTTTTTCCCCTATTGCAACACATATCGCACTCTACTCCTACCTATCGAGCACTGTAAAACGGGAAAATCAATATATGGACCACCTATATATATATATATATATATATATATATATATATATATATTTATATAATAAGCTCAGTTATGCACGCATACTGATTGGTTCTCACTTATGATCTATTGGAGGACAGACGCATAGATGATGTCATCTTTAAAACTTTTTAAATTCTTTATTATATAAAACAAATAGATTCCAAGTGGCCATGCATCTGTTCAGTAATAGATCACAGATGACATAAAAATGTGGTAAGAACATCAGTGACACACTCGCCTGCGCCTCGTGTGCCACTTTTTTGTTCTTATCACATTTTTATGTCATCTGTGATCTATTACTGAACAGATGCATGGCAACTTGGAATCTATTTGTTAAGTATATAGATATCTGTTTTAAAAAATGTTGCAATTTGAAGACATTCATGAAATATACATATATCTTTTGTTTTCACTTTTTGATGAGGAAAGAAGAGGCATATAGATATTCCATATATTTTTCTCAATCTGCAATGTTTTTGAAATTGGGTGTATATGTTATATGTGAAACCAATCTAAAGGAAATGTAAGGTGGTCATGTAGTTAACAGAAAGAAGAACAAAAAATAATTGAAACTACCTCTGTGTGTTGTACACTCTGCATAGTGCAAAAACCATTGAAAAGTTATAGTTTCCATGTTAAAACAATTGTTTTCATTTTAAGCCTGGTAACTTATGCATCTAAGATTAACTCCTGTGGTACTCCAACAGGGAGCACATTTCATACTGTGGTGACAGGGCATACAGTAGTCACAAATCCAAGCACAAGGCCTCAATCAAATGATATTTCAGAAGTGCAGGTATGTAAATATCATGTTTGGATATTAAACAATCCTCACCAAGCTAGATTTTATCGTCTTCCATTTGCACTTCCATTTTTGTCTCACATTGTAATGCAATGATCTTTGTTAGCTCATTTTCTGACTTGTTTGACTTAACATCCTAACCAAGAAGTCACCAATTTGATTAAAATGTGTTATTGACTAGTGCCCTATTTAAACAACAGTTGAGAAAAACTGCTGTTGTTGTATTTGTCCGAAAATATTTGAGGGTTTTTGTTCAGCAGAAAGTTGTTTGAAATTTTCTTTTATTAATAACCAACTCATGAGCACCCACACTTTGCACATGATGAATTAAAGTAGAACTGGCAAAACAAGCAGAAAAAAGGAGAGCTGCTTGCTAGAGAATGTATTGAACAATCAAAGGCAATGGAATTTGAAAAAAAAAAAAAGTTAAACACTCCAAAACTAAATTCAAAACTGATTTTCTATGCTATTTAATTTTTTTTGTTCTTACAGAACAAAAAAAATTTGACTTAGATGTGGCAAAATGTACCTGGCAATACACAATAGAATAACTGGAGCTCCGGCAGGTGCTGGATCTTATTGAAAGCGCTGTCTATTTTATTTATTTATTGATTATTTAAGTACTAATTAACTTATCTGTTATTAATTGAACAGATGTATTAATTACTGAAGATTTTCTTAGATCTTTATTTAATATGTATTCATTATGGTCACTAGACTCTGAGAGAACATAATAAAGGACTGAGAGCAGTGCTCAGGGAGAGGGAGAAGGATTTAGAAGTATGTATCTCAAATAATATTACAAGATAATTTGTTTTTATTAACTGAGTTGATAATGTAAATTGCCATTGTAAAGAGTTTCTAAGATGATGTTTATTTTGCTGTAATAATTCATTTGGGGTTTTATTGAAAATATGTGCTTTTTTGCAGAATGAAAATAATAAGATAACGTGGTTGCAAAGGCATATAAAAGATCTGCAAAATGAATTAGAGGTATGTTATTTTTTGTCATTGGTTTTTGCAATAATTGTTTCCCATGATTTACCTATCAAAACATCTTGCAAGATTAATTATGGTAATAGGAGCAAGTGGAGTTCAATTCGGTCTGTAATCCGGCATACAAGTGATTAACAATATCAGATGGCTGCAAAGCAGGAGTTGGATTTGTCAATCACTAGTATGATTACACTTGTAGAATTTGAGAACACAAAAACTGTTACTAATTAATCATAACCATTACAATTTTTGAAAAAAAGAAACAGTACAATTAGGACAAACATCTCTGCTAGAGAAATTGTCTAAAGTAAAAATTCCTCCAGTTTGGAAATTTCCCAGTTTTTTTTTTCAGGATAAGTGATTGTTGTTATGGTTATTTTGATCAATTCTGTGATTGGTAGCTTCACCTGTCCAATTACAGGTGTCCAATTAAGTTATCTGAGATACAACTAACTCTGGCTAGGAGAGAATTAATGTAAATTGTATTGTCAAGGATTTTGAATCGGAAAGTTCAGGCAATCATTTTGGATGAGGCAGTCCTCACCTTTATGAATGCCACAAATAACAACATTCCTAATGGCATAACTAAACAATAAATAAAACAATCTTTTTACTTGCAATGGGGTGATGGGTTACATTTTCCTCCAGACTAGTGGACTTTAGCTGGGAGTAATTTTTTTTCAACAGTTAAAAGTCTTCTACTCTGTGTCAGCATGGTGGATTGCTAACATACAGAACATCCCAAATCCCTTTAGGCTTTGGATTGAAACTGTATATTAACTGTTTAATTTCAGGAGATGAAGAAGAAATTATATGAGAAAGTCAATGAATTATCAATCCTGAACACGCAACTTGAATTGGAAGTCATGAGGAACCACAGAGCAAAGGAAGCAATAGAGAAAGTTGAAGCAGAGATGGAAAGACTTAAGCAAGCAAGAAGAACAGTTGACAGGGACATGGATATAGGTAAGTAGCCACAGCTAGATATATGAAAAAATGCTCAGACTTTTTGATGGTGAAATGAAATACACATACTTTAAGATAGTACATGGGCAGTGTTTACAAGAGAAAAAGTTCCACTGTCATATATGCTCATTTTTTGGTCTTGAGAAACCTTGAGGCTCAGGAAAACAAAACCTTGTTTTAACAATTGTTCTCATTGTAGGCCAAGCACCTTCTGTGCCTACCAACTCACAAAAGGTTTCCATTGGTGCCATGGTGACAGGGCAAACAGTGAATCAATGGAGGGAACCGCAGGTATGTAAATATCTTGTTTTATTATATAACTCCACTGGGTATAATACAAAGCGATTGGGACTGACGAAGGGCTAACGCTCGAAACATCAGCTTTTTTACCCTTTACGGTGGCTAATTTACTTTTTTCAACTCAGTTGTTAACACTAAATTACCTTCCATACTCTCCCACCGACGCGGCACAACAGTTTCTTTAGAAACTTACCCTTTAATTTTGACACAGCTGGAGGAGGAAATAGGAGAATGTAAATGTGGAAAAAAAATCCTCTCAGGCTGCAAAGAAAACTTGTTTTCAGAGTTGATGATTATTATCACCTATTTTATTTATGTAGTGATCATTCAGCTACTAATTAATTTATCTGTTATTAACTGATGTATTAATTAGTTATGATTTTCTTAGATTTTAATTTATATGTTGTTATTACGGTTGCCAGGTTTTGAGAGAAGAAAATGAAGCCTTAGAAGCAAAGCTCAGGGAGCTGGAGAAGAATTTAAAAGTAAGTATCTCAAATAATGTTACTAGACAATTCATGTTTATTAACTGAGTTGAAAATGTAAGTTGACCATGGTAAAGAGTTTCTAAGGTGATGTCTTGAGTGTTAGCCCTTCGTCAGAGTTAAGGATGATAAAATGGTATCATAGTTCAAGAATTACTGATTTGGGTAACACTGCAATCACTTCATTCATGAACTGATTAATTCAATAATGTTTGGTTCTTTCTAATTGTTACATATATTTATCATTTTTCTGGCCCTTTGGCAAAAACATATTTAAATATGTGCATATGCACTTGAGCTGATCAATAAAAATTGCTACATGAGTTATGTGTACTTCACTGAAAGGGCAACTGGATATTTCATTTGTTGACTTGCCAGAAGAAATATCACAAAAACCCATGCCCCCCCTCCCCCCCCCCTTGGATGTTAGTGGAACTGTTACATTTAGTTATATAGTAATCATCAGTTTGTTTAGAAGCTTACCATACACATGATTGGAACCTTAAGTTTTCGTTTTAAGTGCATTGTGAATGAGTGGTCATGCTGCTTCATTGGGCACCAAAAACAGCCACTCTTAGGATTCAAAGTATTAAACCCAGAATTAATTACAAATCAATGTAAATGAAGCAGCATCTTGCCATATTAACTTATGATTTGCTTTTCTGCAGATAATAATGGGAATGAGATTGAAGTTGCAAGGAGAATGTGCCTATCTGCAAGGAAAATTTAAAGTATGCTATTTAATTTCTTTTTCTAAATTTACCCATCAAAACCATATGATTTTGAACTTGGAATTTCAGACAATCATTTTGGATGAGGTAGTCTTCACCTTCATGAACGCTACAAATAGTGATGCTAAATAACTGGACTTTCACTCAAAAAAACGAGCATTGTAATTGATTGATTCTTTGTCACGTGCCCCTGATCAAATTCAAATGTATCCCGACCGCCTGCGCGCCTAATACAATAGTACATGACTTTTTAAGGGAGAGTCTAAATATATTACAAAGCACTTAATGTATGATCCCTCGGGAAACTAGTTAGTCTTGTTTTCCCTTGAGTCCTGATATCACTGTTTCCCTCAGGGCCATATAATTTAAGTGTACAGCATTCCTATTGGCAAAACCAAAGAATGAGTAAAACAATATTTTTACTTTCAAATAGGGTTACATTTTTCCCCGCACTAATAGACTGTAGCTGGAAGTAATTTTTTTTAATTTTAATGTGTTTTACTACTTGTTAGCGGAGGTGGATTGCTATAGTAAATCCCAAATTCCTCCAGGCCTTAGGTTGAAATTGTACAACTGTTACATTTTAGTCAAGGAAGGACACAAAATACATGAAAGAGGTTGAAATATCGAGAGTAAAGCTAAGAATCACAGAGGAAGCTACGAAGAACCGCATACTAGAGGAAGAACTACAAAACAAAAATAAAGAATTACACAGAGTTAAAGATTATATGACAATAACTCAGCATGCAAAAAGAACAGTTGAAGAGAACGAGGTTCATGGCCAAAAGCAACAAAATTGTAGCGAACAAGTCCGGCGCGGTGAAGTTCAGCTGGACAGGGTTGTTGGGAGAGGGGCCTATGGAGAAGTTTGGAAAGGAAAGTTGCGTGGCATCAAGGTTGCTGTAAAGAAACCTCGCGAAAATTCATCTGAATGTCGCAATCTCTTTGAGCAAGAAGTTACGATTATGTTTCAGCTTCGACACCCGAATGTGGTGAAATGTATTGGTAAGATAGATGATGATGATGGATTACCGTGTATAGTCCTAGAATATGCCGACGGCACCCTCGGAGAACTTTTGAAAGAGAGGCCATTGACACATCTTGAAGTATTCTCCTTTGGTCTTGATGCAGGTCGTGGCCTCTTATATCTACACACTCGTCGTCCGGTTCCGATTCTTCATCGGGATCTTCATCCCGGTAACCTACTCTTCTTCCTAATCGCCAAACTCCCAGGTAGAATGCTTAAGCTTTGCGACTTTGGTACCGCAAATTTTTTGCGCAAAACCATGACACCTGACCAAGGAACACCATGGCTCAATGCCCCTGAGGCAAAAACGCAGCACTACACAACAAAAGTAAGAGAAATGTTTCTGCTTCAATCATGCTTCTATTGTAAGGCTATCTTTACATTTTGTTGGTGCGATTGCTAAGACTACTTAGAAAGAACGTCGGAGCTCCCTGGGATTTGTTGGAGATCCCAGAGACAGCGAATGTTAGGAAAGAAAGTTTCTCGTCAACCGAGTGTCAAGTCAGATTTGCTCATTCTTTTGTTCGTTATCCTCGCGATCACAGCAATCCAGTAGTAACCAGGCTAAGAAATGTTACTTTCAATTGGTACTTTGTGGCTAACTTAGTCGACAGAAAATTTCAGATGAATTTTCAATTGAGTATCAAAGAAAGTCAGATACCTTCCCCTTATTTAGGTGAAGCCGTGAAATTGCTTACATACTCCATACTGCCCTTACAAAAATAAGCTCACTTGCATCTATCTTCGACAACTAATAGCTACTTTTCGTTTGCGAACAGCCCCATGAAACAAACAAAAACGCACCTAAAGGTTACCTATTAATGTATTTACCCATAACCACCAGTAAACGTATGCACTTTTTGGGTGCTTCTTTCATTCTAGGCTGACGTGTATAGCTTTGGGCTGCTACTGTTAATGTTGATTATCAGAGTCTGGCCTAAGTCGGAAAACCTAACATGTCAGGTGCAAAAAGTATTCGATACTTCCCTGCAAGAACTGATAAAAGAGTGCACAGCACAAAACCCAGAGTTACGACCAGACATGCGTAAAGTGGTTTACAAGCTGATGAGAATGAAATCTGGTGCAGTTAGAGCACATTTAAGAAACCGAGAGGAAAAGTATAAAGTCACTGAAAACAAGCTTCAGTAGACACTGATGTTGCAGACCGAACAGTTTATAATGGTAATAGGACCGAGTGGAGTCCAATTCGGTCTGTAATAGTACGAGTGATTAACAAAATCGGACGACCGCGAAGCGGGAGTCTGATTTGTTTATCACGAGTATGTTTACTGACAGAATTGGACGACAAGAAATCCGGTAACCAATGAATCATGACCTTTTCAATTTTCGAAAAAACAAATACACCTAGCACAAATATCTCCAGTGGAGACAATATCTTTAGTTAAATGTTCCTCCATTTGGGAAATTGCCTTGTTTTTCTTCGGATAAGTGGTTGTTGCTATGGTTATGGTGATCAATTCTGTGATTGGTGGATTTAGCTGAGTGGACCTCGTATGATTGGCTGCTTCAACTGTCCGCTTACAACTGTATAGAATGATTAGTGAAAAATGAAGCAGCCGATGAACCAATCATATTTGAGGAAATTATAATGGTTATGATTAGTCGTGTAATAATGCAAATCGTTTCTCTGAAGTTGTCGGGTAGTTGAAAGAAACAAATCAAAGCAAAAAAATTAAACCAAACCTAGAAATACATAAAAACGGTAAGATTAGCACTTAGATTATAATTGTTGTAATAAGCAAGGTGTTAGGTGTTAAGTTGCTTTTTTAAGATAGGATTTAAAAAATTTAGACTTGACTTTTGTTTTTTAACATACTTGATTTTCTGAGAAAATCACAAATTGTAGGTTTTAACTTAATAAGTAGTGTTTTTTAATATAGTTTTGTTAAAAATTTGAAAATAAATTTTGTTTCTTTCTATTTTGTATTTATAATTTTTACAGCTGATTTTCTTTCTGTAGCAATGCGAATAGGGCCGTCAATTGCTTGGATCTCTGATACTAAAATGTTGCTATTTTTTCAGCCAAAGATGGTGGGACCAATGAGTTTCTTGGCGTATTTTACTTTTAAAAAAGTCTGTTTCTGTCATTATTTTTAAATAGAAGTTAAGTATCGATTTCAATTGGTAAGCACAATCAAACGGCTTCAAAAGCAGTCGTTGATCTTCGGTCAAGTATTAGTGAAAGTTTTAAATTGAGTGTCGAAGGAAATCCGGGATTTCATTGAGTTTACTCTTCGTTGTTCTATGATTGGTCAAGAAGACTCGTGCCATTGTCTCCACCAATCGGTCGGATGCAAACCCGAAACCAATCACGACTTGGTCACACGTGTTTTCTCGCACTTCAAACCGTTTGGCTACTCTTACTTTGAGTTCTCATCGGCTCCTTGTATTTTTTACCTATGTTCTGATTAGCTACTGTAATTACGAGGGGTTTGGTTTCACGACACTCAGTTGAAAGGTGCTTTCCTTGTATGAGGAAAAAATGAATTAATAATTAATCAATAATCGTGTTTCAAACCGTCAATTATTGAATTAAATGTATCACTTAATAAAAACAGGTAAAAAAAATAAAAAAATATATATTACAATTCAAAAAATTTTTTTGTGAGGTGTGGACTTTAAAGTCACTTTCTTTTATAACAAATAGGTTAGAATGTAAAGAGACACTGAAGTCTCTTTAAAAAAAATTACATAGGGTAGATTTTAAAAAGCAATGGTTACATTTTGTCTAAGACATTAAATGTCTTTTATCCGTCTGATGTTGGTTTTGATACGCTTTCTTGATCTTGATTGGTCCGTCTGTGCAGTGAAACTCCGAATTTTGCTTCTGCGTCGATAGTTCAAAGCTTTAATTTTCCCTCCTGGGCAGCACCGCGAGCATTTGAACCTTTGAAGATTGGTTTGTTCAAAGTTGCATTTAAATGTCCAGCTCGAACACAATTTTTTTATTGAATAATTCTTTGTGTGACTAACGAACGTTGTAGAATTTAGCAAACTCACGTATTATTTTGTAGTGCCGCTGTTTGGTTTTTCCGTTTATAAGCATCATTCTAAGATGTGAACATTTCTTCTAAGCCATTTGCTCACGAAAGCGGACTCTTTACCTTGAAACTCCACCAGTATTAAAATTAACACCAGAATATTCGGCTGGTTCAAATTTGGGAGAGGAATGTTGAAGCTACAAATTGATCGACGCTCAAATCTGTCTTGTTAACGAGTTACAAAAGAAAGTTTCAAAATGATGTTGAAGCCTTATGTGACTCTAGATCCATTTCACGCGTCTTCATCAAGTTAGAGAAGCCATCAGGGTTTCTATCCTTATCAGCCTTAGGTGGTTCCGACGTTTATTCTGGTCTCACATTTTTTACTGAGGCGCTACGCCACAGACTCTAGTTTGAAACACGGGGTTGTTTCGTGTGAAGTCACGAATCGCTTTCAGTGATTGTCGCTTTCGTATATCTCAAATTCTATCAGATCGTAATTTACCGACTGCGATCACTGATAACTTGCAAAAACACCTTTTGCAGAAGCAAGCTTTCCCGCCCGCAAGTACTCCTTGCGGTATAGATGGAACAATGAAGCGAGGTTTTTATCTCGTCAAATAACTGGCGTGCCAGATTTTAAACATAAACACCAAGAGATTGTAATCTCTCTTGAACACTTATCAAGAAAAATTTTGTAGAGGACTTGATTTGGTGGAATTTGGAAGAGGGGGACATTTCAGGAGAAAATTAAAAGGGTTTAGTAAAGCTCCACGCCAGCAAGTTTTTTTTTCTCGTTCACCTCGACAAAATTCATTACAGATTTTTCTTTCGTAATGTACATCGCCAATCAGAATTGGAGGGTGATTTGGTATCACCAATTGAGTTGATGACGTAAATTGGCCACAGCTAAGAGTTTCAAAACTGGCGTTTCGAGCTTAGCCCTTCGTCAGAGCGAATGACGAATGACAAATGTTTCGCTCTGACGTAGGGCTCAGGCTAATGCTCGAAACGTCAACTCAAAACGTATCCTCCAAGGTAGAAGAGTAGAAGACTATAGAATGATGTTTGAACATGAATGAAAGTGATCCTCGCAGTGATGTGCACTACTTAGGCAGTAGTGAAAATAAGGCCAGAAAAAAATTTCAGGCCTGTACGGGATTTGAACCCATGACCTCTGCGATACCGGTTATTAGGCACTTTCACTTACCCTAACCATATATTCAAGCAATAGTCTACATATGTAAAACTGGTTGCATGATGTCTTTAACCCTTTACACCCTAACATCAGTATACATATTCTCCATACTGTCCTCTATACATTTCCCAATGTGCTGGCAAGGAGAATCTGTTTAATAATCAAGAGATTCTTCAGTTGACCATCAATTCCTTTATTCTCATGACCTCAATGTTTGATTCAGGGATGATGTTGAAAAGACAAATTAGATGCCAGTCACTCTTAGGGATTAAAGTGTTGATAACTGCACACATTTTATTTGCTCCTTGCATTTGTTGACAACAATAGTTAAGGCTGCCAGGAAAGCCAACAAGCAAATGAACAGAAGACAATGAAATAAGGGAAACTGTAAACTTTATCATATGATAGAAAAAACTTCACAGAATACTTAAAAAGGGAAACTTGAATTGTGCTAGCTAATTTCCTCTAATGTCCTTCATGTCTTTGATCAAATAAAATTTAATCAGTCGTAGGGTTTGCCTGCAATGTGTCAAATTACCAGTTAGTGTGGACTTGGTTCTTCTCAGATGTCAGCTGGTAAAAGATAGAAGCTAAAAATAGATTTCCATAAGAAAAAGTACCCATCATCAAAAGAATCACACTGAAGTGGTGGCCTGACTGATTTGTGATATTTAAAATGACAGAGGCACGAAAAATACATCCAGCTTTTTCCTACTCACCAGTAAGTTAATTAGATTTTGGATTCTACATTCAAACTGGGTGAAATTAAATTTATTTATATCATGCATCATTATGGTTTGTTTACATGGAAAGGTAATCGTTGTTATAGCTTCACAGATGTTATCGTTGCTGTCGTAATTAACATTCACAACAAATTCCATCTAACATCGAATGTTTCAAGAACTTTCTTCCTTTCTCAATACCATTTACTATTTCTGTAGCACTATTAAAGGAAGCGGGTTGTTAAAAGAATTTTATAAAATAATTCAAATAGTACGCGCGCTCTGATTGGCCATAAAACCATTTTACATGAGCGTATGCAAACACGGTTTTCGTTCCTCTTTCATTAGTTATTTTATAAAAGAAATGTAAAATGGAAACCATTTTACATTTCTTCAATAACTTTTGATTCTAGTAATTGAATATTTGATTAAAATTTGATGTCTACATGTAACAGGATGGTCAAGCTGAAGATAGCCTCAAAAAGGAGTGGACTCCATTGTAACAATTACATGACTAATTTGGAAACTTAGGCACTTGGCAAATACACCATGTCTTGCAGTTCTCGTGTTTACAGTTTGTTGAGGTAATTGAAATGTCATTCCCCATGCAGGAACCCTCCACATGACCTGTACAGTCATATGCTATGAGATAATCGTGAACATTTGGAGAAGTTATGGTGGTAATTGACCCCTTTTTGCTGGGATGCATAGGATCTGATGGTGTCAATCTCCAAAAGACGCCGTGTATTTCTAGGTAGAGGGCAATCATGAAACAATAGCCAGAAGAGGAAAAGTTTTAAAAAATTGCAGGTTCAAACATGAGTTGAAAATTACTTTTCTTTTTAATTTTTACGCTAAACTGAGGAGGTTGAAACGTTTGGGAAAAACGGTGGGGCAAGCAGTCATACCTGGCAACTTCAAGAGAAGATATAAGAGAAGCTCATACGATTCTGGCGTATCGTTTTACTGACTTACTGTTCCCACGTGTATATTAGAGTGGTTTAGCAGGAGGACGGGAACGTCATTTCAGAACGGCGCGCGTAGCAAAAATGTCGATAAGAAACTGGCTCGAGAACGCCGACGCGTTGTGTTTAATAGTGATTTAGCAGTCGCCGGCTTTTTAAAGATCACCATCACCTTTGAATTTTCGGTTTTATAGACCACTCTAAGGACAACGAAATTATCATCTTTGAGAATTATGTAACAAGCGCAAACAGAGGATAGCTA